AGTACACCGTATGGGAACGCCAAATCGTTGCGCTTGTTAATGGACTGGGGGCTTGAGAACCCCGACTCAAGCAGCTCGCGGCTCACGCAGTTGTTGACGCTGACAAGGCAATTGTGGCAATTAGTTAGTAAATGCGAAGTGTCAAGCCAGTACCCCATCAATTAAGACCCAAGTGGTGGCTACAGATGTGAACAACTGTCACACACACGTGGATGACCACTATGAACTATAAATACCGAGGAACATATGCATGTTTCAACCCTATCTGCGCATGTCTATGACTATGTTACCATCACCTATGATTAAGAATTCCCGACGGAATCCGAAACCGCAGGCAAATAAAACTCTTGTTCCAGTGATCGTATCCTCTTCTTTTAACTGCTTCCTGGAACTCGCATCTCCTCCACTATTGGCAATCAGGACTGTCTGAGATATGAGCACCGAAGGTAATTCATTAACTCATTTATTACTGGTGCTGAAAATTCGATTCCCGGGTGGTAGATCAGAAGAAAGAGGAGCCTTCACCAGGATCATTCATTAATGTTTTACCAACATGACTGCACCGCGGGTTTGTCCGGCGATTCGCTTCTTGGTACAATTCGCTCGCTGCTGAAAGTGCAATTCCTAGGACCATTTCGCTGTACCGCCACACCGCTTCTCACGCGTGCCAGTGGGAGCCTGTCACTAATAGTGATTTCTAGAGCTGGCCTAATCGCGGAATTCAAGTAGACTGAAAAACAGATTTAGCGATTGTATACTACGCGAGTACCCAATTTTTATTACCATAACTTGCCTTCTAATTCGACTTAGATAGACATGTTTACATTCGGGTCACGTTTCTGAGTGAGCCTAATAAATGCTTAAGAAACAGATCTAGACTAAAGTGGCGTTTAAGGTTGAGTTAAAGAATAGGGTTAAGTAAAAGACTAGGATTAAGGCTAAGATTATAATTAAATTTGCCCACAGTAGACAATGTTACCCAACCCAACTGTTATTTCCGGCTGAAAAAAAGTTTTCAATTCTCCACGTCCCTCCAGTGAAAATTCTGTTTCCCTCTTACGAAAGCTGGTTCCCTTTCCTCTGAGCTGTGTCCTTTTTCCCTCATCCCTCGAATGCTGGCAGTCCTTCCCTGACCTTTTTACTTGATTATACACGACTGCTAAAACCAGCCCCGGGCCAGGGGTCACTTGGGTACGCCAGTTTCCCCTTTCTCGGGCTAACGCAGGAAAGCGGAAAAAGCTGCAACTGTCGAGTTGGGCTGTCCTGAACACACTTCACCCCGTTGTCTCTTCACGTGATGTTATAGCAGCGACTGCGGCGAGGGCCACTTGAACAACCAGTTTCCCCGGCCGACGCATTCTGAGGGCCACTTGCATAACCGCGGTTGCTGACATTTGATATCGCCTCCCCCTCTGGTTCGATTACAGTTGTCATCACTTCGCTGACCTCAAAACGCTTGCAGTTAGCGGCCGCAAATCCCCGCTTACTGGCGCAGTATTGCCTCTCTGCACGTCCGCCCCCTCTCGCGCTGGTGTTTCAGACCAATGGTAGCCCACAGGAAGTGCACTTGTAAACGCTTGTCGTGATTGGCTGAAGTCGATGTGCACTTTGGGAACGCCTGCTGCTTCCGGCTTCTGGAACAGCCAATCACAGGCCGACTAACGCAGACCTCAATGAGGTGTCTGCCGCTAGGCATCACCCTGGATTCCGCTCCACCGGCCGTAGACAGCGTTGTCGGTGTCGTTGACGACTCAGCACTCTCCCAGTCGGACGCCTGCCAATCCAAATCAAATCTTCTACTA